TTTCTGAAATACTATAATTTCACTCATTATCCTCCATTATCTCGATACAGCTTCGTGTAAAACATCGACAGATTTGACATGGGCGATAGAGGCATTCGTGGTAGTTGATGCAATGATTCATAGTCCATGAAATACACGACACAATAGTAGAAAATCGTCGAGCCTCTAGAAAAGCTGGACACTCCTGGCTATCTATTGAACATAATAAAGAGTTATTTTAATGAAAGGGCAGTTGAGGTAGGACAAAATATGACGAAGGTAACCATAGGGCTCTGTTCCCAAAAAAAAAAACGTTTCCCCATATTCCTTGTCTGGTCCAGAGTGGACTTTTTTCTTGAAAACCAAGCAAAATACTAAAAAAAATCAAGAGACAGACGAATGTACTTTTATTTATTAAATTTCCATAATACTCAGACGTGAGCCCAAGAAAATCCTCATACCATTCGTGAGGGTCATTTCCAACAACGTTTTAAAATAAATATACTAAGTGACATATAAATTCGAACACCCAGTTTAAATGGTTTTATATTAATAAAAGTTGGTGAATGTATTTATCTTACTGTAAATAACAAGTGAAAAAATTTTCAGCCTTATCAGTTGGACATTCCGGTTTTTATACTGTTTTTTTTAATTCACTAACGCTCTAAAAATGAATATTTCAGCCGCAGTAAAGAATCAACGTTGGCGGATTTTGGTTCTTGACATCCTTTACGATCGGTTACGATTTCGTCAACTTAGTGAGTTTGATAGGGGCCGTATAGTGGGACTTCGGGAAGCTGGACTTTCTTTTCGGGCAATTGCAGTTAGAGTGCAAAGAAGTGTAGACACTGTGGTTAGGTGTTGTCAGGCATGGCTTCGAGAAGGCCGTACGCAAAGAGCAAGGGGCACTGGACGCCGCCGTAGAACAACAGACCGTGAAGATCGCCGCCTAAAATTATTGGCCTTAAGGGACCGTTTCTCCACTACCAGGTCCATTGCAAATGAATGGTTTGCAGAACACGGAAGACCTATTGGCATGCGAAGTGTTTACCGACGAATGAGAAGTTTTGGCTTGTTTTCATACCGGCCACACTGGGTCCTCCCTTTAACTCGAGAACACCGACGTAATCACCTTGAGTGGTGCAGACAACGGTCACTCTGGGATCAGGAATGGAACAGTATTGTGTTTAGTGACGAGTCTCGATTTTGTTTAGGCATGCACGATGGTCGTGTCAGGGTTAGAAGGCGACGTGGTGAAAGGAGGAATTCACAGTTTTTTGTTGAAAGACATGTTCATCACACTGTTGGAGTTATGGTTTGGTGTGCTATAGCTTATGGTTCCAGGTCACCTTTAATCTTCACCAGAGGTAACATGAACGCGCAGCGTTATATCCACGAAGTTCTAGAACCCCATCTTTTACCCTATATAATATAATATAATGCCCGACCACATGTTGCAAGAGTCACAATAGACTTCTTTCAACATAATGATGTCACATTGTTACCATGGCCACCAAGATCTCCCGACTTATCCCGAATTGAGCACGTGTGGGATATGATGGGTGGGAGATTGCTCAATTTGCAACGTCCTCCTCAGACTCTAGAAGCACTTCGAGAGGAGTTGGTGGTTGCCTGGAATGAGATACCACAGGAGGACATTGACCACCTGATCAGAAGCATGTCTAGGCGCGTTGGAGAATGGGTAGCACATCAGGGTGCATCCACACATTATTAAAGGTCAAAGGGCTTTAAAGCAGTGCAATCATTTTGAAATTTTTATCATTTACTTATTATGCTTCATTAAGTACTTATACAGAATTTTATTAAAATAAAACCATTTAAACTGGGTGTTCGGATTTATATGTCACTTAGTATATTTGGGCGAGTATTCTTGACGATCAGGTAATTGGCCCTTTCGAGTTACCCCCAAAGTTGTCAGGAGAAGGATACCTTAGCTTTCTAGCCAATAACCTACCCGAACTTTTGGAACAGACCTTAGACAACATGCCATTACAACGGAGACAGAATTTGTGGTTTCTTCATGACGGTGCACCACCACACATTTTTAGAGGCGCAATTCAGTATTTGAATGAACATTATCCAAATCGCTGGATCGGTCGAAATGCTCCTGATCCTCGAAAATGGCCAGCAAGATCTCCTGACCTCAATCCGATGGATTTCTGGTATTGGGGAGAACTTAAAGGGATGGTTTATGGGGCTGGTCCAATAACAACTGAAGCACAACTTCGCCAAAAAAATTTTAATGCAGCTGAAATAATAAATGGACAACTTCGAGGACCTAGAGTAAGAAGAAACTGGGTTCGTCGTAATGAAGCTTGTGTGGAAAGTGGAGGACGACATTTTGAACACCTTTTTTAGATACAAAAAAAGTGCAGTGTGAGTTTTAAGAAGAAAAACAATGTATGTATCAAAATTGTGTTCCCTATTTATAAGTGGATTTTTTTAATACGATCAACAAACTTTAAAGCCGCATGTCATATAAAACCCGTTTAAATAATGACTATCATAACGGTAAACGTTACGTGTAAAACCCTGTATATATCAATCTATGAAATATCTTGAAGCACCACAATCTTAAGGACCTTTTAGTGGTGAATGTTGAGGCCTTGTAACAGATTTCCTTACTCAAAAGATCCTTGGGAAGACCGCGACATCGGCTGAAATTTTCCGAGCCGCAGCTTCTCGAGTTGCCTTGGCAGCCTTCGATAAGAAGAAAATCACGGCGCTCCCAACATTCAAATCCCAACAAACAGCCAGATTTATTCGACAACGATGTCGACGTACGACCAAAGCTATCGAAAACACAAAATATTTTAACGAGATACTCGATACAGCTATAACATTTCGTTTCGTGAATTTGCATTGACCGTACAAGTACTCCATACAGTAGTTAAATAAATCAGTGATGAATAAACATCAAAACGGATTGTCGGCTGAGGCACATTCGCATAACGGTGGTTCATACATATAAACATTTTAAAGTGTCAATCTGATGGAAATAAAATATATTCTTTTCTCCGTTGGGAATGAAGATAGCATCAGCATGGATGGCTTCGTAACTTTTTTTCGAGACATGAATTGCTAGGTATGTCTAAATGATCGGATGCAGATCGATTGATGTCTTGTCATGTGCATATGAGGAGAAAGCAAGCGATATTAACGGTTATTTGATGAAAAAATTGGACTCGTATTAGTATATATTAGTTTTTAATGTATATGTTAATGACTGAATTTATCGAATGCACGGTTGTTTCTAGTTCTCACAATTTCTTATCAGATTCTTTCACAGTACTTTCCATGTTTGCTTCCTGGAGGAAGTATTGTAATTTTGAAGATTTTTTTGGATTCAAGTATTATGTTTTTTGGATGTTGTAAGTTGTAATGTGCATGTCCCAAAACAGTTGAGTCAAAATTCATTGGCTTTAGTTTTAACAAACACAAAATAATATCATGTTGCCTTTGGAAACAAAAATTTGTTTACTTACTTTACTGTCAGTTGGCATTTATTTATTTTGTTGTTTTACGAGGGATGTTTTTTGAGTTTTGCATATAGAAACTTAGTAGGCCGCATGGATCGAACGTCAGTACTGAATCTTAACCTCACTTTTTAGTAAACTTAAATTCAAAGTTTCACAACGACATATCGCGAGATTGAGGCGTCCTCAAAGACCTCAATTCAAAAATTTTACATGAAGAATTAGGAGTAAGAAAATTAGTTTCTCGTTGGATACCCCACCTGAAGAAAAGCCAACAAAAGTCATCCGTTCTCGAAGTGTTTCGAAAAAGATGGTCGCGAAATTTGTGTCAAAAGCGGATCATATTGCAACAATTCCTCTTAATGAGCAAAGAACTGTTACTGCGGACTGGTATACCACCATTTGTTTGCCAAAAGTCATCACCGAGCTTCGAAAAGTCAACCCCGACCACCAAGACAATGCAAGCTCGCACACAGCCCAAAAAACAAGGCAGTATTTAACGGTAGAAAACGTGGAATTATTGGACCATCCTCCACATAGTCCCGATCTAATCCTAACGATTTTTCTACTTTCCCGAAAATTAAAAACAGACTACGTGGTCGAAGGTTCCAGTCACCAGAAGAAGCAGTTGACGCATTCAAAAATGCGCATGCAGACGTGTATTAATCTTCGTGGAGAATACTTCGAAAAGCAATAAAGTCATATGAAACTTCACAGTTACTAAACTCCATAAATTTCATCCATTCAAAATGAAAATATTGCTAGAGTTAACCGAACATGATTTCTATAGGCGAGTTGAGTTCTTTGAATAAATGACTGCATGCGATTAATGATAATACCATTCATGTAAAGAATATCTGCTTCAGTGAAGAATCCGTGGTGGGAGGTTTTCAAATGAGCACCCTGTATATCGTTCTTCTGTGCGTTGCTCGGTACGCGGTATGTTAATCTGTTAAGATGAACGTTATAATTACATTCAAACTCACAGTCATAATCCTCGGGATGCTAACAACGCAAGCACATAGCTCTTTTATTGAATATTAGTGGCGTTAACATTTGAACTGCTCTAACCGTTGCTACACAAAAAACCTATTTCATCCACGACCTGTAATTTTCTTGACCAACCCATAAATCAGAACCGAAGCGAGGAAGAACAAAAGTGGCATATCCAGCCGGCGCAGACTTCTTTTTCGTTCGTAACATGAGGAGGCTAAACCTTACAAAAACGCACCATAAAAATGTGCTCTCTCGAAGGCGCAGAAGATAATATTCTCCGTAATTATTTCAGCCGTCGTGTACGGGAAAAAAGCTGTAAAGTGCACTTTCAATTTCTATCCAGTAAAAGTAAAATTTTTAATTAAGGAATAACTGTTATTGGAATCGGTTTCATGTTCTTGTGCTGTTCAACTATTATAAATAGTAATCAGCGACTGCCACTCGCGGCGCTGGTCTAGGAGACGTCGTCAGTGGCGTCGCAACCATACAGGTTAGAATTTATAATAATAATAACAGGACTTTATTCACACAGTACAGGTAAAAACGCCAAGTGTCAGCATAGCTATTTTTCAGCTTAACCCAGGTAAAAAACATCAAGATTAAACATTTGCACAAGTACACACCATAATCTACAAAAAAAAAACAAACAATACAAAAAAATATATAAATGATAGTAATCATCTAATATTTCATAAATTTGAATGAGAAATATTTCACGAAAAAAGAAGTAAATAAGTATTACAAATCATGATAAACCAAGTCATAAACCTAATTCATAGCCAGGGACTAAGGAACTACGGCAACAACTAACTGTTCAGCAAGTACTTCAATCTTTTTTTGAAGTTGATAAGCGACAGGTCTTTAAGATCATCTTGCAAGGAGTTGTACAGCCTATCGGCACTAAAGGAAAAGCTTCTGACAAAGATTGACGTTGACGAGGAATAAGTAGGGTAACAAATTCAGGGTGTCCGTAAAGTTGAGGTTTTACTTTACACGACGTGTAGATCTTGAAAACATAAGCAATTTTTCTTAGTACCATATACACCAATGTCTTAAGGGAACCGAGATAAAGGGCTCTGTAACATCAAAAATATCTGAATACCGTCCTGTAGCCGCGACATCCCCGAGTGGTACTAGGACACTAGCTCAACCCGACGACAGAACTGGGTCGGGGTCAGTGTGTCAGATCAGTATGCAACCTTCAACCGACGGTTACGGTCACGCGTGTAGAGGTAATCGCGTAGACGAGAATCCCTCAACAAGCACTAGAGACGTGGCTAGAGAAGTGCAAGTATCAAAAACTAAAGTGTGGCAAACGCTCCGTGAAGAGGGGCTGTATCCGTTTCACGTCGAACGTGTACAAGCCCTTCAACCTGACGATTTTCCAGCAAGAGTGCGGTTTTGTGAGTGGTTGTTGCATCAACATGACAATAATCCGGACTTTTTGAAGTGCATATTGGTGACAGACGAATCTACGTTCACGCGTAATGGGGTGAATAACTTTCGCAACACTCATGTTTGGTCAGTAGAAAATCCGCACGCTGTCCGTCGGGCACATTTTCAACAAACATTTTCGGTGAATGTTTAGGCTGGCATGGTGAACGGTATGCTCATTGGACCATTTATTCTCCCAAATCGATTGGACGGGATGCAATACCTAGACTTTTTACGCAACATTTTGCCTTCCTTGTTTGCTTGCGTCTGCTCGGTAGCGCATCAGCTGATTTCATTTTCTGTTGGAGCGGTATGATTTCGGGTAGAGACGTATGCTTTATCTGAAGGCACTTGAAATAGCATAAAAACCTTTGGTCGGCGCATCCTTTGTAATTTCATGACGTATCATAGGCGTGCGGTCATTTGTTTAGAACGATAATAATAATGTTTTTATATCACAATAAATGGATTTTACTATCTTCTTATTTTTTTGATTTGGGATAAAAAATACTTATATTGGGAGTTTAATTTATGTTGACTGAAAGTTAAGAAATGGAAAAATTACAGAATTCCAACGTTTGACATAGGCAAATATTTACATAGCAGGTAGGTATATAAAAAGATATATAAAGACTTACATTATAGGTATTTATATATCATCCTCGCCTTCGGAGCTGTCGCTAGAGTCATCTTGTAGAGGAATTACAACGGGATTTACAGGAGGCAAAACACAATATTCATTTTCTTTTTCAATAATATGCCTAGAACACTGCTTCCATAGGTCTGTGGCAGCAATATGAGATACTGCATCTCTTATTGTGGCCAATAGCGATTCACTTAATTGAGGGGTCTGCTTATGTTTTCTTACTTTTTTTTTAAATCAGCCCAGACCAACTCAATCGGGTTAAAAATGCAGTAATAGGGAGGTAGACGTAATACTTCATGGCTATTTTGCTGAAGCAGATTGTCAACAACATACTCTTTTTCAAATTTTTGTCTTTTAATAAGATCCAATAATATGGCTTTGGTTGATTTTTGTGGTATTTCCATTCCCTTATCCTTCATAAAATCAATAATGTCTTCTTTTTTGTGCCTGTATTCGGAATTTTGTTTTTCTGTCGGGAATGGTATGGCGCATTGTCCATAATAATCACTGAATTTGGGGAAATGTTTGGTATTAACTGCCGCTCTATCCACTTTTCAAATAAGTCGGAGGTCATGTCCTCATGATAGTCGGCACATGATTCTTTGATATTTTTGGCAGATAACAGCAAGGCATTAGGTATAAATCCATTTTCACTGCCAGCATGGAGAATAATGATTCGTTTTCCACGGTTGCGTGGTGCATTTAAAATGCACTTGTTGCTGTCGTCAACCCAGCCGTACTGCACAACATCATGGGTATTATACCACGTTTCATCCAGGTAAATCAGATTTATTTTCTGCTCTCTATAGATTTTAACTTTGTGCAAAAATTCTTGGCGCAATTCAACGATTCGAGACGACTCCATAATCACCATTTTTTTCATCTAATTTTTTGTATTGAAAACCACACAGTTTTACAATACAGTGCAGTGAGTCTAAGCATTTGTAATTATAATTCAGGATAATCTTTTAATTTATCCCGTATCATTTCCAACGTGGGCACCAAATTTTCTTTATAAAATCCGTATATTATACGACGAATATCTTCCTGAAAACCTACGTCTATTCTTTTTAATTTTTGCCCTATGCGCTTTGTGGAAGGAACGGTTGATTACATCTCCCCTTTTTATAACCCGATAAATGGTAGACCGACTGATTTTTGTCAGGATACAAATTCTGTTTAAAATTTGATTTTGCGAGGAATCTGGATTTTCGTTTTTCAGACAATCATACATATTTAGGATTACTCTTTGGGTCTGTTCCTCTAAATCTTTATGAAAGAATTCTGCCTGCACAGGTTCATCAACCATCTCCTCGTGGCTTGGAGCATTTTCCCAAGGTCTCCAAAGAGGCATATTTAGGTCACACAAGAACAATCAACACAACAATTAAATCAACAAGTAAACTGAGTATTCAAAAGTCAAAAACACACAAACTAATAAAATCTATGAAAAAACACGGACAGACTAAAGAAAACACGTTTATTCACCGCTACACGGCACTGGCTAAACTGTTTCAATTTTCAGTAGCCACCTGCACTTGTTCGGAGCTCTGAAATACACGCTTTCTCATTGGCTATGTCCACGCATAGGCGTGCTTTACTCCACGTGGACCGGTGAAACTGCCTTTGATCTTATACGGGGGATATTTGCTGCGAAATTTGGCGATTTTTGCAGCAACAGAGCGTGTTAAATATAGATATATAAAACGCACCCGGTATTTCACAGTGTTTCAAGTGACTTCAGATAAAGTATACTTAGCCCTTCTCGTCAACTGGAGAGTGATTACTTTTTCCTTATTTTTTTTTTACTTGGTCGCCCTCGTTTCACTACACATTACCTTTGTTATTTCGAGGGTAGTTGTTTCTGAAAAGGAAAACCCCAACTTTGCGGACACCCTGTATACAGGAGGCTTGTTAACAATGACCTTGAGGACAAGGGTCGCTAGGTGTAGTTTTCTCAAGGCATCTAATTTCAACCATCTACGAGCTCCTTTCCATTCAGTTGGCCCACTTCAAGATTTGTACCAAAATATGCCTTTATAAACTGACAAAAAACGGTAAACACCTACGTATATGACCCAAAACGGAGAAAAAGAGAAATAAAATGGATCAAGTCAGTCAAACAGGTCCATGCAACTAGTCCGTAGTCACAGGCAGCAGCGGTGGCCGCAGTGGTTGACTCTTCGGTCTCCTGATCAGTCGCCGTGGTCTGCGCGGGTTCGAGTCCCGTACCAAGAGAAAATTTTCTCTTGGCTATGGATGTCGTGATTGTCCGTAGGTATTCCCTCGCCAGAGTCCGTGTGGCGTCCCCCCCTTTCCCCTGTTTCCCCTACAGCCCCATGGTGTTGGAGTCGTATAAAAAAAAACTTTCATTCTGCAAATATATTTTCTATGTCTCTTTACCTTGTTTTCTACTTACTTTATTTTGCGCCGCCCATGATTGTGTATATGTAGGGTTTCCTGGCATGATACAGGCGCATCATAGGCTTTAACTCTTTTCACTTAAATGCGCTCTGAAGACATACAAATTACTTCCGTTCAGTAAAAAAGACCATTCGCGATGTACCATTAAAACTTCATGATTTGTTTGAAAGTGAGCGTAATCTCTTAAATAGATGATCTGATAATATATTAGTCGCAAAGAACGTTTGCACATGAGTTTATATCCTGACAAATTCTAATAAATAGCTAAAATACCTACCACTGATCCTTATTATGACCGAAACGGAAACCAGTTTGAAAGTGCAGCCTTTGTAAAAAAATATTCATACCTTTCAGAAGAATATTCGAATTAATTGACACAATGTGAAAGTGATTGGAAAATCGTTTTGGTTAGAGTTGTTATAAATAAAATATTTTTTGGCGCGTACAAACCACAGCTACTAAAATTTTGTTTGTTAGATGAAGCGTTTTCCCTCTGGTACTCAAAGATTTTTCAGCATTAGACTTGATACAAACCGAATCAATATTGCCTGTTTGAAAGTATCAATAAGTATATAAATTAATTCCAAAATTTTATTTTATGTTTATATCTGAAAAAATATATTCTGTAGACCCAAATTCAAGTTACAAGTGTAACAAGTTCTACTTGTTTTACCTTATGTTTTCTTTATGCCTTTACATTGATTATACTGTATTTTCAACAAATATTTAGTTTTGTACAGCTCAAATTGTTAAGCGGGTTAGGCGGTAGAACAGATAAAGTATCTAAATCTCGTCTCCTGTAATATTATTACAAATAAAAAAGTCGTTATTATTATTATATCACTTGTCACTAGTGACTTGTACTTTTTATTACGTAAAATGGTATATAGATTTATACCAGCGCATGGAAACTACTTAGATTTTCATTGTGTTTAATATTCCAAGTGTAAACTCCGATTCACAATAATCTCCTTGTAAGGACCTAACGGACAACATACCATATTGAAACCCGAACAACCCCGTAAATACAAATTGATGGCTGGAACGCATTGTACTTAGTCTTAAAGAACAAAGCACGGCCGGTCGGTGTAGACCAGCCAATGAATGTGGTTCTAATCAAGCGCA